CGGCTCCGCCGCAACTACGATTGGCGCCTGCGAGACGCGAGCAGGGGTCCCCTTATAAAAATTGAAAAACAGACCACACAAGTTCCGCGAAAAACTCGTAAACGTCAATCAACCCGGAAAAATAACAACACTAACGCAGGCCTAAAAGGGACAAGATTACAAAAAATATCACAAACGGACCTAAGTCACGCGATAATAAAAATTCAAGCTATTGTCCGAATTGTTGACCAACAATTTCATCTTCAGAAAAACAGGCGCCGCGTAGCCACAAAAATCATAAAAACATGAGATAACGTCTCACAGCTGTTTACTTAGCCATATTTTCCGCGAGGATGACGGAATTGATCACTCGCTTAAAGCAATCTTGCCCCTTTTTAGAGAAAACATAAATCATTCCTTTTGTTCTCTAAACCTCTCTTAACAGTGTACTTTAGATTAACAATGATAGGACATCTTAAAAATCGTAAATCTCGCGCGACATTGCAACTAACTATTGCATCCTAGACAAAGGGCACTACGCCCTTTTTTCGGGGTATAAATAGAGGCCCCACGGAAGCGTAGAGCGTCAGAAAAATCTTAAGAGTTGCCGAATCCACGTCGTTAGTTCACACATAGATACAGTTTAATAGTAGCAGTCGGAAGTGCGCGGTAATTCTAAGTAGTCACGTCGGAAGTTCCCGAAAGTTTTAAAACAGTCAAATCCACGCAAGGTTCGCGAAAGTTCAACTCGCGCAACCCATTATTTGACTGATCCGGTGACCTCTGAAGTTCATAGAGGGCAGACACCCGCCACTGCTATCCTTGGCTGGGCTTACGTGGACGCTGGGAACCGAATCACTCGACCATAATCATCATCACCAGTAAGTCTACAATTGGATGTCACCCTCAGTAGGATACCTATATATGTTCTGGATCATTTGGTGGCAGGCGGGGACCGGGAGGAAAAGTGGGTGAGGGGGGTGAGCGGTGCGGACGGTTCGCCTCCCACCACTGCTCACACTCC